AGGAATCATGTATGATCCTAATAATTCTAGTTCATCTCTCCTCACATTAGCCGGTTCATGCCTCCCAAAGATGGTGAGGCCAACAAACCGTTGCCAAAGTTTTGGCACGGGATGTTGAATCCAAGTGCCCTTGGCATGTTGGAGGTTTAAGTTAGGATTCCCTGTTAAAGCACGGTAGACAAAAGTAATGTTGTCTTGGGGTGGTTCAATTGGTCTATCGGCTTTCAATTCAAACAATTTACCAAAATCCTTCAAAGACAATCTAATATCTTTATTAAACAAACGAAATTGAACATGAGAGAGTAGACCATTTGATTTTATGACGTTAAAACTAGAAATGAATTCTAAAGTCAAATAATATTATGTATCATAATGTAATTGGAACAAACCACTTATGCCAATTCCCTTGAACAGTTTTTCAACATATTTATCAATTCCTAGTCTAGAAAGCGTGGGGTGATGAATAAAACGGGTAGGAATTACCTGCCGTGTGACGAGGTTGAGCATCCTCTGCCTTTGCTCATGGGTGGTAATGACCACCCTCTCCCACCCCGGAATTTGCAGCTCCGGGTCAATGGTAGGTGCTTGTTGCCTCGATCCTTCACCCCTAACAGTCCTAGACCTCTTGAAAGCCATTTTTGTGTAAAAGAAGGTAGGAATTGAAGCTTTCTCTCTCTTAGGGTTTGAGAAGAAATTGAGAGAAAATGTTGAAAATTTAGTGTAGATTGTAGAGGAAGATGAGAGGAGTTGGAAAATGTAAGAATTTTTAAGTTTGGATGGAAGAATTGGAAGAGATCTTGGATTGAAGTGTGAGTTGAGGGTTTGAAAATGGAGGTTTTAGAGAGAGAAAGTGAATGAAGAAGATGAAATAAGGAGAAAATGAGGAAAGAAAGAAGAGAAAAGAAAATAAAAGGGGGAACGGCCTGAAGGCGCGCCCGATCGGGCGAATTTTGCCCCGATTTTTGCCTCACTTGCGCGCCCGATAGGGCGAGCCTAGCCCGATCGGGCCCGTACCAAGCACTGGGGTTTCTCCGATTTTGTTTCTTCTTCAAAAAATTTTTAAGTCTTTATACCTTTCAAATTCATCCCTGTACAACGACACTTAAAACTGGTGAAATATCACTCTCCTCACCTCTCTAAAATAAAAATAAAAAAGAGAGAAAAGAAGAACTAATCTAGAAAGCATAAAATACGGGTTGCCTCCTGTAAAGCGCTGGTTTATATAGGTCCCGCACGACCTTCTTACCAAGTACAATTCCTAGGACCCTTTACCTAACACTTGATTGGGTGGTTTCCCACCCGGTATAGTGATGTTTAGGCTACGATGCGGCATTCTGACATAACCTGTGGGACGCCAAGTTGCCTTATCTGGTGGATCCTCCTTGACTTGGGATGGGGATCTTCAATGCTACGCACTAAAAACCCTTCTTCGATCGATTGTTGCTTCAAATTATCATTGCGTTCAACACTTGCAACTCGATCTGGCGGAACACATACTGTAGGCTCGATTCGCACAACTTGCTCGATCGGTTCCACTTGTTCATCCTCGAAACCAAGACCAACATTGTAGAGTGCTCTTTCTATTGCATCGACTTCCTTTTGCCATCTTTCTATCTCATCTGAAAAGGATGCAACACAAGATACCGCCTCCAAGGGATCTTTTTCAAGAGCTTGGGGCTTGTTAGAATAATTTACAACCACATTGACACTGAAACATTTCTTCTCTGTCATGGAGCTTTTGGGGGTATTATTCAGATTAAAAACCACTTTATCATCCCCTACTGATAGTGTTAACTTACCACTTCTAACATCTATGACTGCTCCTGCAGTGTTAAGGAATGGTCTACCCAAAATAATTGGGGTTTGCATATCCTCAGCCATATCAAGAACAACAAAATCTACAGGTATATAAAATTTACCTACTCTAACGGGGACATCCTCTAAAACACCTAGGGGGTATTTGAAAGAACGGTCGGCCATTTGCAGAGTTATATTGGTAGCTTTTAATTTACCCATATTCAACTTAGAACACACAGATAATGGAATGACGCTAACACTAGCACCCAAATCACATAATGCATTATCAATCAGAAGATTACCAATATGACAAGGGATAGAAAAACTACCCGGATCTTTCAATTTAGGTGGAGACTTATTTTGAAGTACGACACTACACTCTGCAGTGAAAGCTACTGTCTCTACCTCACTAATAGAACTTTTTCTCGTCAAAATTTCTTTCATAAATTTTGCATATGAGGGGATTTGTGTGATCAATTCAGTAAAGGGAACTGTTACCTTCAAATCTTTAACCACCTCCAGGAACTTACCAAACTGCTTATCCAAATTTGTCTTCAATTGGCGATTGGGGAAAGGAAGTTTGATAATTGTCTTTTGAGCATTCTTCTCCTTGCCTGGAGTAGCCACCTTCTCCGGAGTTTTACCCTGCAATGTAGAATAAGATATGTTAATATTATCCTCTAGCCCTGCAGGGCTAGCAACTACATTGTTTGGTTTAATGGAATCAAGATTAGCATTATTTAATAAAATGGGTTCGTCGACTCTGGGCATAGAGGGCCCTTCATAGTTTGAACCACTCCTTAGAGTAATTGCAAATGCTTGATCCGTAGGCCTAGTCGGCTGTGCCGGCAGGGCTCCCTGTTGGCGTGCTTGTAGGGTAGCGGAGAGTTGCGCAATTTGATTATATACAATTTTATTGTGCGCTAGAATTTGATCAATTGTCGCATCTCTGCTCTCCATGTGCTTTTACATATTGACCAACATTGCTCTAATTTCTCCCAAAGAAGGGTCTGAAGATGAGGGGGGTTGTTGTGGTTGATTCTTCTGGCTAGCATTGGGATGATAGTATTTCTGCTGCTGTTGCTGTGGCACCTGTGGTTCTTGTGGTGGTGGATTTTGAACATTGGTGCTCCGGTAGGAAAGATATGGATGATTCCGATACCCGATCGGGCGCGCCTTTTTGTCGCACAGGTCTTCTTAGATGCCGCGCCCGATCGAGCTAGCAGCTCACCCGATCGGGCGCGCCTTCCCTTGATGGCACTCCCACGCGCATCCTCCCGATCGGGCGATTGCTTGCCCGATCGGGCCCGGTCTTTATCTTCAAGGCTTTGGACTTCTATTGGGCTAGATTTCTCGGCCCAATCCATATTTCCTCTCGGGTCTCGAATACATGGTCCAATTGCCTCGTGATCCAAATAACCGAGCCCTTAATCACCGGCTCGATGGCTCTAACCGGCCTTGGGCTCCATAAGTGGTCGTGTTCTTCCAATGCTCATAGTTGCTTCATAAAAATCCCGGGAAAATGCTCCAAAGGTGCAATTCCCTGCAAAACTCAACCAAAACTACGAAAACACTAGAAAACACATATTAGTAATAAAAGTGGCCCGAAAGAGCCAAAAACACTACTAATAATGACCACGGGACGGGGGTAAAACACTATATAAAACAGACATATCAGTGGTGGAAAATTATTCGGTCTTATACTTTACAATTGTGCATGACAATATAGTTAGGATATTATTTAGTTTACTTAGTAGACACACAGACCAATATAGAGGAAATTTAGAGCGTTCCATATTTTTAGATGTATGAAGTTAGTTGTTCCTCAATGTGTATGTAGCAGTAAATGGATATGAAGGTTGTCCAATGATTATTTTGTTATTTGTTTGCCATGGAACTTATCTACAACTTATGTGCTTGAAATTTTGTTGTTTATTCAATGCATAATGATGGCTAATTGGCAAATTACTTTATTTAGGTAATCATGGCGGCGAATTGTGACCCCCTGTATTTTTAAATATATTATAAATGAAATTATATTTTATTTATAATATTTATTTGTATTTTCCGAGATTTAATTTCAAAAGTTTCAAATTACATTTGGGTTGATAAATGATTTTATTACAAAAAACTTTTTATGAACTATCTTCTATAATCTATGTCCAACAAACAAAGCCTAACCCACTTTACGTACTTAATTAACCCATTATTTTTTATGAGGCCCAATACTCCTGCTTACCCTACAACTCTCTCTCCTATAAATACCCCAAAAATCCCCAAAATTTTCCCCATACAAAAAGGTTAGTAAATTCTCTTCTCTTTATTATATTTCTTTATTTTTCCTTTACATTTCTTTTTCTTTTATTTTTCTTTTCTTTTTTTTTCTTTTTCTTTCTTTCTTTTTTCCCATTTTATGTGAGTTTTCACTCACTGCTCCTTCACTGCCGCCCCTAGCTGCTTCCGCCTGCTACCCTCACTTCCGTCGGCCACCAGAAGCCGGTGACAACCAGCCTTGCCGCAGCCCTGCCGTGGCTGCCCTCCCCCCTCTTCCTTCTCCTTTTATTTTTGTTCTATTATCTTGTTTATTATTAAATTGTTTTGGGTTTTGATTTTGGGGTATAAAGATTATATTTTTAGTATCAAAATTATCTTTTTGATGTTTTAAACTAATAATTTCATATTATAATTGTTGTTACAATTTTCAGATTTTATATTTTTAAAACCTAGGGTTCTAATTTATTTAAATTGGGATTATAGGGTTCTAATAATCAATTAATTTTGGGCTTTTACTCCTATTGTATTTATAATGATTAATTAACCATAAAAACATGTTTTAAAGGAAGTTTTAAGGTGTTTTAAATAAAATTATCACTACTAGAAAATAGGCAAATAGCGACGAAATGCTTCCGACGGACATAAAATTCTGTCACAAAAGTCGAAATTTCTGACGAACTTTTATTCCGTCGGATATTTCCGACGGAATAAAAATCTGTCGAAAATTTGGACTTTTGCGGTGGAATTTTCTGTCATATAGTACCATCTCCGACAGAATTTAAATCCGTCGGAATATAATTTAAAAAAAAAAAACTCTCTTAGAAACCCTAAAATCGGGCTTCCTGCCTTCCCAGCCTTTCTCACTTTTCTCCTCCTTCTCTCTCCTTCCTCTTCTCTTATTCCGCCTCTTCTCTTTCTTCTCTTTCCTCTTCTTCTCTCTCCTTCCGCATCTTCTTTCTCTTTCTCCTCTTCTCTTATCTCTTTTGTTCTTTGTTGTTGTTGTTCACGACGCCGAGGAGTAGGGTTGGTGGTGTTCTAGCCGCCGAAGAGCATGGTTGGTGGTGTTTAAGATGCCCACGAGCATGGTTGGTGGTGTTCTCGTCAATTTCTTGCCAAATTATATAAATTAATGGTTTTTCATGCCCACGAGCATGGTCGAATTTGACTTTTAAAACCCGGGTTTTGTTGGTGAAATTCGTTAAGGTATGTATTTTTTCTTTTTTTTTTTAGATTTTTTTTAATTTTATGGTTAATTGTGGTGGCGGTGGACTTGTCAGTGGCGGTGGTGATGTAGATCTAGGTCAGGGTTTTATGGTGTTTTGGTTAGTGTTCAGTGAGGGTTTGGCCGTTTAGGTTAGGTGGATTCGGTGTGGGTGTGTCTAGTCGATTTTTGGTAGGTGGGTGGGTGAGGGTTTGTCTTTAGGCGTTAGTGGGTTTTGGTGGGTTTTTCTGGGTCAGCTTAGGTGGTCGGTGGTGGTTTGCTTAGGGTGGTTGGTGGTGGTTCGCTTAGGGTGGTCGGTGGTGGTTGTGGGAAATAATATTTGAGGAGTTTTTTAATTGTTTTTGTTGCGGTGGAGGTGGTGGTTTAGCGGTGGGGGCTGATGGTGGTATGGGTTGGTGGGGGCTTTTTTTTGGTTTTTTTAAAGGATTTCCCGACGGAATTTCCGTCGGGAATTTCCGACTGAATCTAATTTCGTCGAAAAAATTCGTCGGAATTTCTTTAAGACTTTTTCGTACACATAAAACCTCTTCCGACTCAAAAATTCGTCGGAATTTCCGTCGGAAAAGGTCTATTTTCCTACGAATACTTTTCCGACGACACTTTCCGACGAAAAATAGGGTGTTTTAGACGAAACTTTTTCGTTGGAATTAAGCTGTTTTCTAGTAGTGTATATTGCTGGAAATTAGTTTGGGTATTAATTTGTGATTATTGGTTGTTTTCTAGGAGGTGATTATTCCCTTGGAGACTTTTAATTGATTAAAAGTGGCACAAAGGATTGTTTTACGAGGTACATACATGTCTACTTCGTTGTAAGTAGTATCATGTCCAGGTACCAAAATGAAAGAACTTAGTTTTATGTTCAAAGAACACTTGGATGAAAATTGTTTGGTTATACATTTAATTAATTCATGTGCTTATGTTTATGAGACATGTTTTAGTGAATTGATTATGTTTGTATGGAATTATGGATGCAAGCATGTTGAAATATATTAGACTAATTGTTTGTATGGAATGTTGATACAAGCATGTTTTTATTGGATTGGTTTATTAACCATATTTTGATTATTGAAGGATTGGAATTAAATGGTTTAAGTGGAATGAATTTATTAATTATTCCACAAGGTTATTATTATTTTATTTATTACTCAAGCATGACTTGTTAGTATGTTGAGTAAAAGTGAATTAAGCCGAAATGGCTAGGTGGGTTGACTATGTTCAACAATTTTGGATAATTTGAAAGTTTAATGGAATTAAAGGTCAATTTATGATGAGATCACTATTGTCCTAAATAAGATTAAAATTTAACTTGAATGAGTCGGCTATTTATTAAAATTGTAATCACGTAAAGTGAAACATGGATGAGCAATAAAACTCTGGAAAGTGTGCACTTCTATAGTATTGACAATTATGGGTTGGGGTACACGGTGGTAGCTCGTGGCTTTCCGAGGCTTGTTTGATCAACATGTCCTCTTTTCTTTTGGTATTTACAATTTAATTTTATAATGAAAGTTAGATGGGATCTTAGACTAACTTTGTGAGAATGGAGTCGCGCCCATTCTTGCATTGCGCTAAACTTTTATTTTAAATGGTCGATTGGGACCAAAATGATTTGGTGGGTTGGACAACCTCGTCTAATGCTTACTTCAAATTAAATTAATCAAATTAAATGTAAAGAGTCAAGTGTTTGGAGTTGGTTAGTAAGTATATGTTGAGTCAATTGAATTGTCTAAGTGTAGAGTCTTGATTAATGAATTCGTGTTTCATGTTTATTTACTTTAATTAATTGAGCATGGTAGGTTTTGTACGTTGTAGCTTGTATGTACTCAGCTTTGCTGAGCGTGCTTTTGTGTTTGTTACTTTTGGTCATGGTCTTCGCCTTTCAATGACCTTGTGATGATCTAATTATTACACTTGTATTATTCGAGAGCAGTATTGCATAGGTTAGCTTGATGATGTGAAGTTTGGGGATTTGACATACGCATTGTCAAGGGATTGGTGTAATTGAGAGTATTCGTTCTTTTTGCTGAACTTATTTATGTTTTACTATTTCAATTATGCTGTGGGATTTTGAATATTGATTTGGTTTTAATAAGGGCCTTTATGGTTCCAATTTGTAAGCTTTGACTTATTGGTTTTCTAAATTATATTAATTTAAGTTTTAAGTTAGTTTTTTCGCTATGATACTTTGATAAAACCTTAACGTTTTAACACATGGCAGTAACATGTCAATGGTTCTCCTCTAATTTTATTTAAAGTAAGTGGTTTGGAAAAGGGAGTATTATTGGCGTGTTATACAAATAACAATCTAATCTTTGATGTTGAGATTGACAATTCCATATTTTATACATTGGTGAGAGTCTTTATTTTATTTTCTTGCATGTGTGGGTATCTTATTACATGCCTTGATGTTCTCATGGGATAATGCTAAATGTTATGCACCTTTACAGCCAATACCTAACAAAGTTAACAAGCTGGTTAGAGGAGAACCTGTTGTCAAATTTCACCGAGGAGAGGATATAGATAAGGAGTACTCCATCTATTTGCTACATATCTCCTATGGACATCGGGTAGAAACCACTTTGGGAAAGGATGGAAGGCTTTCATGGAGGAGAACGACATACTAGTTGAAGACAAGCTTGAAACTACATACGAGGGAAATAACAGCTTCCATGTGATTGTATTTGGAGATGGAGTAGAGGTCCCCAAAGCCAATGACAATGATATCATTGTTAGTCTGATGATATTTCAAGTGATGGTATTGGCTCCCTCTCTAATGGGAGTGCAATTGATTGTACTGGCCCTGATGAGGTTGAGGAGTACCCGAAGTTCAGCGCAACGTTCACACAACCCTACATTAATGTGGGTAGACTGGTAAGGGTTTTGTATGTGAATGCATCCTTTTCCTTTATTAGAGTCTTGTAGCAAGATAATGTGAACTTATGTAATCATGCATACAACTAATTTAGATTGATGTATTGTGTTAATGGTTTGCACTGATTACTCTCATGCATAAATCCAAATTATATTCCTAGACTATGATTTTATTTTTCCCTTAATATTCTCACGCATCTAATTTGATTATAAAATACGGTTTTTTCACCACATACCCCTGAGTTTTTTGTTTATTCACCATATAACCATGAAATTTTTTAAATTCACCTTATACCCCTAAGTTGATACATAAATTCACTATATACCCTTCATAAAAATAAGATGAGTGGAATTTGGTTAATTATATCTCGAATCCACCTTAGATCTCCTCTCCTCATCCCAAAATAACTCTTCTCCTTTTTTCAAGCCCCTGAAATCACTACATATCTCCATAACCATATCTGTATGATTGATTTTGAGGACATAAAAAGGAAATTTAGGGTGGTTTTAGGGGTGGGAAAAGGAATGTTGTGATTTCAGGGGTTAGTGAATGTATTTAGGGTGGTTTTGATTCATAATTAACTTTAATAATTGACAAAATTAACAATCATTAGTCATCAAGGGTATATGGTGTATTTTTGTGAAAACTCAAGAGTATATGATGAATTTTAAAAAGTTTAGGGGTATATGGTTAATAAACAAAAAACTCAGGGACATATGGTGAAAAACCCGTATAAAATATACTTAGTTTAGTAGGTCAATGATTATGCGTTGGGCTGTAGGAATACAAATGGATTTTATCTAATGTAATTTGAATATAATATAAAATCTCTGTTGTGATGCTTCCATTCATATGTTGACAATCAATGTTGTAGAATGTGCCGTTGGGCTTTGCAAGATCTCATTTGGACCCCCTGGGGCCTAGAACTAAAGTCAATGTATGGATGAATAAGTAGCCATCTTTTCTGTATGTTAAAAGGAACGAGCGTTACCAGATCAGACTTTGCAACATAAGGGAGGGAATATCAAGCATGATATGGGGTTAGAAAATCAAGATGGGGGAAGAAGTGATGGTGCAAATGATCTGCAAATCTCCTCCGGCTTTCAAGGTGACAAGGGGTACCATAATTTATTTAAACATGAGCGTTGGTTTAGGTTTGATCAACAAAACTTTTGATGTGTCTATGTGTTAACTTTTTTTAACTGTGTTCATCCAACTGTGGCACAACTTTGTATATGTAATTCTGTGAACTAATATTTAGATGTGCTAAACTTTTGATGTCTTAAACTTAACAATAAACCCCAGCTTGCAGCACAGCAGCCTGTGGTAGGAGATGGTAGCTCTTTTGACAAAAAACTTGGAAACTTTGTAATTACAACAGTAGCTAGCTATTGTGTTTTATGTTAATCTATGGTCAATTTACTGCGGAACAAAAATATGTCTTACTAAATTTTGACTAGGTGTGTTTCAATTGAAATCTAGTATGTTAGTTGTATCTTGTGAACATGTTAAAATGTCGGTTAGGTTAAGTTAATGGGCCAACGATCATGGATATATTTGTAATCCCAATATGAGTACTTTGAACCCTATGAATTAGTTTAGTCCAGTTAAATGCCCATAAAATTTTGTTTACTGCGGTAGTGTAAACTTGTACATATTAAATAATAGGAATGTGGCATTTCTTCCAATGGGCCTAAAATGTCTTTAGTGGTTGATCATCACAATATTTTATATAGTATGAAACTATGAATAGGTTACTGCACTCAACCCAATGGGCTAAGGACCTTTAGATACTTGAAACTTATAATTTGACTAAAACATGTTGTGCCGCTTGTATTTGGCCCAGTTTTGTACATAAAATGTGGACAAATTTACAAGGCCATATTATATTTTATAAAGCGCAGGCATGTTAACTTTAGAATTTATCGTTTATAAAACAGACTTTCAAACGGCTATGTACAATATATTTTTTTTTAGAAATACAACAACGAAAAATACACACACTTAATAAGCAATATATTTTTTTTAATATTTGCAACAAGGTAAATTACACACAAGTAATAAGCACTATATTTATTATAATTGCAACAAGGTAAACTACACACAACTAATAAGTTTAATCATACTACCTAAAACATATTGGTCTTTAACTTTAGGAGTATTAAATAAAGTGAATGATTGTGGATTTGGGTCAAAAAATAATGGTCTAAATTCACAATCAAATGCCCATTGCTCACAGCTAAATCTGGCCCATCACTTGTATATATTTTGGTTTATTCAGTTACATTATGCGAATTATAAATTTTAAAGACTAGATTATATAAGATTATGAATTATCACCCAAATCTGAATTTTTTTTTTAAAAAAAAATGGTTCATAAAAACACAACAAAACCAACTCTGAATAATAATAAAAAAATATATATGGGGTATGGGCCATACGGTACAAATATATATTGCTTCACAAAAATTGCTTCACAATTTAACTTAGTCAGCTGCATTGATGATATATTGGGTATGGGCCATGGGGTAGCTGAAGAAATAACGGACAAAATTGACATAACGGTGCGATACATCAATTGGGGTAACGTCGTTACTCACCAAAATATACGTATGTGTGCATGTGTGGCAAGATTGCTGAATCAACATACATGCAATTACCCTTTTGCCCTATGTTTAATGATGGAAAAGATCAATATACCCTGTTATTTTTTTTTTTGACAAAAGAACTTACAAACAAACTAAAAACGGAAACAAAGCAAATCACGCCAACGCGCCATCCCTGCTAAACAATGAGCCTGAGCAACCGTAGACCTTGGAACCTTCTAAATATGACACACAACCAAAGTCCCAATAACTTCCAGAATCTCCCGTTGAATCCAACGCACAGAAATATCCTTGGAAAACTGTAACACCCCAATAATTCTCCCTTTTCCCAAACCACTTAATTTAAATAAAATAGAGGATAACCATTGGCATGTTACCGCCACGTATTCAAACGTTAAGGCTATATCAGAAATTAGCAGCGGAAAAACTAATTCAGTTATAAATAAGTTTCAAAACCAAAGTCTTACAACTTGGAACCATTAAGACCCTTATTCATAACCCAAAATAATAAAAAGTGATAGGTAAATGAAACCGAGTCTAAATAAATTCAAAAGTAAGAAATAAAGTAAACTGTGAATAATAATCAACACTCAATTCAAAATCCCACCACCTTGATGCAAGTTCAGAACATGTAAAAACCTGTGGTTAATCTGCTCCCCAATATTACAAGTGTATAAATTGGATCGTCACAGGGTCATTGAAAGGTGAAGGCCATGACCAAAGAAATACACACAAAAGCACGTAATCAGCAAAGCTGAGTACATACGGGCTACAAAATATAATAAGAAATCTCTAGCATGCTACTAGTATTCAATCATCGCACACAATTAAATTATAGATTCAATACGCGACGCAACTGTCAGTTTTACTATGACTTCACTAGTTAACAGTAGTTAAATAATTTCATTTTATACATTGGATTAAACAATAGACAAGGTTTTCCATACCATGCTCCATTGGAACATCAATAAAAGAAAAACCCCATGCCTTCTTTCGGAAACATCAATAAACATCCAACGACCACGGGCGCGACTCCGTGACCATAGCTAGTATGAGATCTCATCTAACTTTTAGTTTTTGAAAAGTATTTGAAATGAGAGACTCGTAGATCAAACAACCCTAAGAAAAGTGCACAGCTAATACCCTGTGTACCCCAACCCCTGATTGTCATTACTCCAGATGTGCACAAATCCAGATTTTTATTGTTCATCCATCTTGCACTTTACGTTTACAAGTTTAGACTTGGTGATGACTCATATGCAAAAGAATACGATCAATCCAATATCAATTCAATCAAGTAAATCAAGTTTTCAATTTCAATTATTGTTTTATTAGTGACAAGCAATATTTATTATTTATTCCTTTAACTACCTCGGTGTATAAACACCTTGAGTACATAAAGCACCCCTCAATCTTAACCTCGTCTTATAAGACTTAAATTTCCTCCTTTACTCATTCTATCTCCACAATCATGAACGAGTAATAAATGAATTATTTCATCAAATCACATACCTTTGCCTCTAAGTGCATCTTACATAATTAGAGCATAAACAATAATTCCAATATAGAATAGTGCACAACATACGGAAATCACAATGTATAAACAAACAATTTAGCCCAGTCAATTCTCTATACATGATACTGGGTTCTCGATACATCCCTAAACATGCATCTACAGGCAAGGTTTCGTAACTTGTACGTACCTTGAGTAAACGAATTGGTATGCCACTTTACTATATAGAAATCACCTTCAATAAACTCCTCTCCTAAACCAAACAATAAAACTTCGATCAATACCCAAACAACAAAATTTACAGCAATACTAACTTACTTTAAAAACTTCAAAATCCAATTAAATAACATCTTAATACCTTCCCTTTAATTAAAATCAAAAGCTTATACATAGTTATTTATATTTCCTTCATAAAACCTTAAAATACACCTTTATACATAAAATTACAGCATACTAAAGCTACTAAGAAAATCTGAAATTTTAGTTTGTTATTTTCTTTAGGATAATCAACAATCTACGTTGAAATATCAAAGTATTGCTTAATAAAATATGTAGAAACATAAAAACTTCTCATTTTGATACTAAAACAATACAATTATATTACAAATTCCGAAATTTAATCAAAAACTTTAAATTTGAAACTTTATTAGCAACCCATTAACATAGTTGAGTTAGAATAGCTAAAAAATTATAAGTAAAACTCTAAAAATATGATTTAGGATAGTTTAAATCCGAAAATTCATAATTTTATAATCTGAAAATTTATTTTTAATCATCAAAACTAAAGATTTAACACTATATAAACACAAAGTAACTAGTTAAATCAATTAATCACATTTTAAACCCTAAACCGTGAAAAATAAAGGTTTTTAACCCTAAATTCTTAATAATATAAATCTGAAAATTTATAATACAATTATAATATGAAATTAAATGTTTAAAACATTAAAACATAATTTTGATACTAAATAAATCAATTTCAAACCATAAAATCAAACCCAAAATAATTTAATCAATTTTAAGCAAAAATAAAAAGAAAACAAAGGAGGAGGAAGGGGGCAGCCACAGGGAAATAAATCCTAAGTCCAATAACTATGCAGATAGGGAAGAAGGGTCGAACCACAGGGAAACAAGTCAATTTATTCCTAATTAATCAAAAGTAATCTAAATTATCAAGTAACCAATTTGTTGTTATTAAAGGGAACTAAACTACTAGGAATAAAAGTAGGGAGAAATAAAAGTAGGGGGAAAATCAATGAATAAAAGACCTAGGGCATAGGTTCACCAATAAATAATATTACAGGGTAAAACACGACAATCAATCATCAATGCATTAATTAATCAGATCATAAAGAACTTTCGCTAAGTATTACAATCACAGAGTTAATTTACCGGTATTAAATCTCATCTCTCAAATCTCGACTTAACCATTTATAAATTAGTCCGCCTATTGAAACTAAGCCTAAACATCAATTCTCATCTCTCGGATTAATATTGCATAACTCATACAATTAAACCAGGCCTAATCTAATTGCATAGCATTAAATCAATCAATTGGAAATTAATCAAGCATTACCAATCAACAATGAAAATTACCCCTTCATATTATTTATGGATCCCCAAAAACCCTAAAAAGAAAACTACTCACGCATAATTAAATCTAAACTAATCAAAGCAATTAAACAAGTCATGATGAAAATAAAGAAATAAAATTACTGAAATTAATAGAGAAGAAATCGTTACCAAAGTTAACGAAAATAATGAGTTAAATCAAGAACAAATGCAAAGTTGTAGAGAGAGAAAATAAGAGAGAAAATAAAACTAAGTAGAGAGAGAAAGTCTAAGAGAAGAGGTAACTTGTACCAAATCACTAAATCATACTTATATAAAGCTCCTAACAAATCCTAATTAGAACTAAGTAAATCGCCGAAAACAGCTTATCAGAAACACGCGTCCGATCGGGCGAATGGCCGCCCAATCGGGCCCGCCTTTTTCTTCGCCTCCTTATTCTGGGCAACCACCCGATCGAGCCAAAGGTTGCCCGATCGGGCCCGACTTTGCCTGGACTTGGATTGGGCTTCACTTCTTAGCCCACTCCGAATTTCCATTTTAGGGCTTGAATACTCGGTGTCCAATGCTCGGTATTTCATATGTCGAGCCCTTAATCACCGGCTCGATGACTCTAATCGGCCTTGGGCTATATATGAAAAGTGGTCGTGCTCCTCCAATGCTCGTAGTCGTTCCATAAAATTCCGGGAAAATGCTCCAAAAGTACAATTCCCTAAAAAACTCAACCAACAATACAA